ATGAGCCAGCAAACAGTATTCCGCCATGGTTTCTTCAGCAAACAGTATTCCGCCATGGTTTCTTCAGCAAACAGTATTCCGCCATGGTTTCTTCAGCAAACAGTATTCCGCCATGGTTTCTTCAGCAAACAGTATTCCGCCATGGTTTCTTCAGCAAACAGTATTCCGCCATGGTTTCTTCAGCAAACAGTATCCCTCCATGGTTTCTTCTCCAAAATCTTGCTTGAGTTCCTTCCCTGACTTCCCTCAATAATGGATCTGGAAGTGCAAGCCAAGTAAACTCTTTCTGTAAGTCCCTTTAAAAAATGAAACCGGAAGACTCTGACAATTGGAGACTTGAGTATCTATAAAGCAAGTTAGGCATGCAATACATTTTAAATATTACCATTCTATACACTTCCTCCAAATTACTGTAATAAGATGTGAAAAGATAAATATTTTCAAAAAATGTCTAAAACTGAAACAAAGAAAATTACTGAAACTGCAAAACTCAGTAATTCTGATGTAGTTTTTTAACGAAGTGACTCTTCTACCTTTTCCTTTCTAAAATAGCATTACTCTGCTCGGCTCTGGTTCAGAGGTCCTTTTGGGTCATGGAGGAACTTTCTGCTGTGAGCTTGCTTTTCTTTCTTCCAGTCCTCTTTCCTTCTGGTTTTCCTCAGCTAGAGCTGTGGTTGCATGTTGGGATCATCACATCCTACATTTTTAAAGTACTAAGCTCCATTTTCCACCTAACATTACAACTCAGTTGTTTCTTATGTTTGTGTTTGAACACGGTGCTTCCTCAGCCTTGGGCCCTGTGACCTCCATCTTATACTCCCATATTGTTTGATGATGCCTGGGTCATTCTAACCCTGGGCCCTGTGACCTCCATCTTATACTCCCATATTGTTTGATGATGCCTGGGTCATTCTAACTCTACAGGCAGGCTTTACTGTCCCAGGCTCAGATAAGTGCCTCTGTGTGCCTGCTCAGCTTCTGACGTCACCATCACCATTTTTGATTCTGCTTCCAGCAATAGAAAATTTCCTATTGTTTGTATGAGGATGAAGATCACATCTATTTTTTTCCTCATATGATTTCAGAATGTTGCCTTAGAATGTGGTGGACATTTAGTTTCTTTTTTTTTATTAATTTTTTTTATTTTCCATTTTAAATTTAGATAAGAAACAAGGTTGCTTCACAAGTCAGTTCCAGGTCCCTCTCCCTTTCCCTCCCCTCCCCCCCCCGTGCCCTCCCCCATCCCCCCTGTTATCCCCTCATTCCCCCAGGGAGGGTGAGGCCCTCCCTGGGGGTGTCCATAGTCTGTCATTTCATATAGGGCAGGGCCTAGACCCTTCCCCAAGAGTTCAGGGTGAGAGTGCACCTCACATTGTTCTATGGGAGTCCAGAGTCCGTGTGTATACTTGGGATGGGTACTGATCTACTGTCCAAGGCTCAATAGATTACCTAGGCCTCCTCACTGGACATTTAGTTTCTTAATGTAGTCTCCTTTTTTTTTTAAAAAAACATTCTTTTATAATGTCTTACTGATGTTTAAATAGTATATAAACCATGTATAAAATTAGATTTTGGAACAAAAAGATGAATTGCTTCCCTTTCTATGGCAAGCAGGTACCTCCTGTAAACTGAAAGCAATTATTTTTACATTCAGCCCCAAATGACTGTTTTATTAACAGATTGCTCAGGACATCAAGTTCTATAGCTAGTGATACTCAACACTCATCCCTGGGAATAAGGGGAGGAAATGGGGACAAACAGAGGCTCAAACTTGTTATGAAAAACAAAACCCACTTGTTTATTATTATTTAGAAAGCACACATAGCAATATATTGGGGGGAGAGAAAATGCAAAATAAGTGTGCATACAAATTCATCTGAAAAGAATCAGTTTCACTTCTGAATAGTATCTATGTGAGCTTCAAAAATTGTGCATTTCTTCTACCTCTATCCATGATGGGAGTTCTGGATAAAGATATGTGGAAACAGGTCTCTTACTCCTCAGAAATCCTTCCTCCACATATGAATAGTGGGCATGGCCTTCTTCTTAGACGGTTCCTACAGGTATGTTGTTGGATCACGCCACAGTCTCTTTTCTCTGAGTCCGTCTCTGATGACAAGTAAGGATACTTGTAAAGGAAGATTTGCCCTTAGTTCTTGACTTTTTCTTTAATTTTTTCTGATTCTTGAGTGAGATTCCCAGCTCTTCCATGATGGCGTTGAAAGAGAGACACTAGAGAGTACAAAATAAGAGTGTCAAGTGTCCTGGCACCCACGACCAACCTGCATTGCCTCGTATCTCTTGCCTACCGTTTGATGGACATAAGTTACTGCTTTTAAGGCAGGTTCATAAATAACGGCCAACTCCCATCACCTCCCCCGCCACCCACTGGCCATCTGTCCTTTATACTTAAGGAAACTGAGGCAGAAAGTTAGCTTAGCAGACTATGGTTTATATACAAACACACCAGTATAGACTTTCCCAGTTGAGAAAACAATATAAAATAAAACAAGACAAAACAAAACAATACCCCCCCCAAATCTCAAGACTCCCAAATTGACAACTTACCTTTGCCGAGACAGCAAAATAGAGTTAAATTAAGGCATTTCCCCCACTGAGATGATCCAAACATTGATACGTTTATCAAGGCATACGACACTTCAGTAACGCTATAGAAAATGAACAAACCTTCTCTACACCAAGGCTTTCTGTTTTGCTCCCATGAAACCTTACTTTGTTCCTAAAATAAAATCTAAGTCTTGATGACTTTCCTTTCTGATAAAAAAAAGGAAAAAAAACAATTTTAAATTGTATATTTTCTCGAAAAAACCCCAGAGATTCTGATGGCAGCAATGATGCAGCTGGGGTTGAAATGGAAAATAATGGCATTGAACTGCACAGCAAAAATAATGGTACCACACAAAGGGAGAGGGCAGGGTGGCAGAACAATGTTATGCACATGCAGAAAAATATGTATAGACACGAGTCTCCATCACAATGTCTATTTGCATGCACACTGTATCAACAGCCAACACAATGTAATTTGCTGTCATTTTTTCTATCCAAGATAAACTCTTCAGACACACTTCTGCCTTCAGGGATCTGCAGCTTTACTTTCTCATGAGGTTACTATGAAAATGTTCTCCAACGAGATAAGGCAGCCCAGAAGGACAAAAACTGCAGGATCCACTTATATGAAGTATCTGAAATTGTCCGACTTGCAGAAACACAAAGTAGAATGGTCACAGCTCGGCCAGGGGCTGGTGAGGGAAATGGGACAGCTGCTATTTGCTGGATGTAAAGTGTCTGTTAGGAGAATGAGTCATTTCCAAAGTCCTGCTTTTTGACTTCAGGGTGATAATTTAGATGGGGGGACAAGAGGGAGGAAGATGAGGAGTGTCAAGGATTTTGTAAACATTATTATGTAAGAACCTTATCCACACATTAAGTAGATGATCACGAATTATTACTGGGGATACTAAGTCCAAACAAAAAGGAAGTGCTGTCTAACTCCATTTACAAGGGCTGCTAGCTCTTAGTGACTTCACTGGAAACCATCTATGTTTAGATTTTATTTTTAATCACTGTAAGAGTTTTGTGAACTTTTCTTCATGAAAACATTCCACAAAATTAGAGTCTGGGTTTTATTTTAACTCTCACCAACTTAAATTTAACTATTCATGCCGTTTTGAATTCAAACAGTAAAAATGAACAAAAAATGTAGCTTCCATGAGCAAAACAGAGAAGAAAGTGTCGGTCGAATGCCCCCTTTTCTATTTTGTGTAGAGAAGTGGGTTTTATCCCAACTTTCAGTTATGGTTTTCTTTAAAAGACCATCTTCCTCCAAATTTTAGAATGCCTTAAAACACAGAAGCCTTTATTTTCTGATCAACCCTAAGTGCTCATTCTCTGATTTCAGTATGAGACTGAACAAACCTCATTTTATAAGTGATACTGGTCCCGTTGTCTTTGGTAACAAAAATTTTGACTCCTGATTTGTCTCTGAATGCCAAAAAGAAAATGGCAAGATATTAGGGCTGACCTTTCTGTTTCCAAAGTTTTGATGTGGTCATAAGGAAAGGTGACCTTTCAGGTCCCCTCAGGCCTGAGCACAAACAAAAGATAGACCTCATCCACAAGAGAGGAACCAGTGAAGGTCATTGCTCAGCCCAGAGGGCGTGCCAAGCAGCAAGGGGAGGGCTCTTGTTCATTAGCTCTCCAGCCTTGTATAATCTCAGAATCTTCATTAACTTCTTATTCTGTTTCTGGGTTTGGGATTTTAGGAACTTCCCCCTATTAACAGTGTCATGGAAACATTTTTTAAAGTGATGGTTTAGATCTCTAGATGCTACTTTTGACAGAAAGTTCTAAGCACTCCCACTAGCTGACTTTCTCCAGCTGCAGCAGTGTGAAGTCCGGGATTCCTAGGAGTGGTCTTCCTCTGCTTTGTGGAGAGAAGATGCTGCCACAGTCCTGCCCCCAGGCTTCTGTATTGCTGGCAGGTGGTGCTCACATTTTTAACAGCTCTTCATGGCCATGACTTAGAGTTTGTATTTGGCTGCTAGCACCAGGGTGCTGCAATTGAAACTTAGTTACACTGGAAAAATATTTTCTATTTTATTCAATCTCCTTGTTTATAAAATGGCACTAAGGTGGATATTTCTCAGAGGTATGATGAAAATTCAGTAAGCTGGTGTATGGGGGGGAGATGGAGAGGGAGAGAGAGGTATGTGTTTTTGTGTGTGTTAGAGAGAGGGGAAAGAAAGAGAGAGAGGTATGTGTTTGTGTGAGAGAAAAGAGAAAGAGAAGGAAGGAGAGAGACAGAGGAGATGGAGAGAGGGAGAGGGAGAGAGGTTTTGTGTGTGTGTGTGTGCACGCGCACGTGTGCGAGCATGCGTGTGTGAGTGTGTGTGTGTGTGTGAGAGAGAGAGAGAGAGAAAGAGACAGACAGATAGACACACACACACACAGAGAGACAGACAGACAGATAGACACACACACACACACACACACAGAGAGAGAGAGAGAGAGAGAGAGAGAGAGAGAGAGAGAGAGAGAGAGAGAGAGAGACTTCTCTTTCGAGGAAAGGAAACAAGGAAACTGAGCACCAAATTATTCTAGCAGAGACTCAAATAGTCCACCGGAACCTGCAGCTCTCCTGGCTTTTTAAAGGGAGAATGGTGTGCTTGGGGATTTGATTTTCCAAGTGCCTTCCTCTTTCTTGCTTCTCATGCTTCAAGCATTTCTCTAATATCCCCCTTCCTTCTCTTTCCTGCCTTATGTAATTTCTTTTGCCTTTCCTTTTGGAGAATTTCTTTTTCTAGTTGCTGACTTCATGGTGCCTCCTTTAGGTTAGCCCCAGGTGTTTGATTTCATGATGCTAGCGTGAGCCTGGATGTAAATAAGCAGCTTTCCCTGTACTTCTAGTCATCTTATTGTGGGTGTTGTCTGGAAGGGGTGAGGGCTGGTGCTCTGGCTGTACCTCGCTGGTAACATGAGTCTGGAGGTTCAATACCCAGAACTGTAGCAAAAAAAATCATTTCTCAGATGTTCATGTTGTCTTGCTTCTCAAATAAACTTTGTCAGAAAAATTCAAACAAAAAATGGTCCAGAAAAGACATTTCCCCACAATGTGTCAAGGAAAGTTCAATCAGTATTAGAATGAGTTCGTTCTTCCTTCCTTCCTTTTTTATTTTCTGAGTAACAACACTGGCTGCCCTGGAACTCTCTTTGCAGACCAAACTGGCCTCAGACTCACAGAAATCTACCTGCTTGTGCCTCCCACCTACTGGGATTAAAGGGGTGAGCTTTCTTGAATGGACTTCATCTTGATTATCAATCGACATACATTGTTAATGTCAACTTGGCTTTTTGTAAAGTTAGCATCTGCACATTTAGATGTTTTGTTCATTTGTACATTTAGACAAATGTTTAGGAGAACTATTTTGATGATCAAAATAGTTTTGACTTTTCCCCAACAACTTTTAAAGGAGCTGTAGCCAGGAGTCTAAGAAGTCTAGTCCGTAACACAGTAACTTTTTATGTTGCTATAGTTTTTTCCCATTAATTCAAATGCATAAAGTGCCCCGTGACATTGACATCATTAGTAAATGTTCACATTAAACATTGTTAAGAGAGATGCTATTAATATTGTTATTTTATAAATGTGAAACCATTCACTCTATTTGTAGACTTCCTATAATTTGAAGGCAAACTACGATTTGAAATTTCTTTGGAAACACCATTTCCAGTAAAATTTGAGATATGAAAGTAATAAACTTCTGTATAAATAAATAAACCACAATGGAATTATAGCTTTGACACAATGTGGTCAAGTTTCTGCCTTGCTTTATGTCAAAGTATCAATGGGTTTTTTTTAAAATGAGAAAGTCTGAGCAATAATGGTCTTAGCACGCTTTTATCTTGAAGTCTTCTGGCAAGTGAACCTAGGATGTTCAATATGGTAGGGGCTTAAAGACAGAAAACCTTTAAAAGAACTGGAGCAGAACAACACAGAGTACATGTGTCCTACCACGAGGCTTTGGGAACGTTGGCTGCCTGTTTGTACCAAGGCTTTATTTTGTCAGAGGACCACTACAGAGCAGAGAACAAACTTGAACTCTCCCCACCTCCACCATGTAGCAAAGGAAGGCATGCGAGCGCCATTCTTGGAGTAGTTATGGTAGTTATGCATGCACCGTCTTTTTTTTTTTTTGGATAACAAAAAATATTTTACTAAAACAGAAGTTTCCAGACAAGCCATACAAAATGGTCACAAGCTTTTCTCTTCTTCTTTTGGGGGTGGGGCAGAGAATCCATATTAAACAGCAAAGTCACAGTGTTATTAGTGAGGGCTCTGATGTTTATTTAATGTTCCTAGTTTGGTTCAGACAATGAAGCTTGTCCATCTACAGTGTCTAAAGTTAGACTTGGCTAGAGAGAATATTCTAAAAACCTGGTTAGCTGCATTTAACCACTGCAATTAGATCCCATAAGAAGGGGAGTGGGAAAGGAGAACATAAAATTAAAATAAAACTGTTTCCCCCCTTAAAAATAAAATAAAAACACCCATAGCCCTGGCAGCTACCCCTGACAACTACCTTCATTCACAGAGCTTTGTACTTAAACCATGATAGGGAAACGAATCCAAGCAGAGTCACTGCTTTTAGACATTTCACAACAACCCAGTGTTCTAGCCTCTGCTCATGCTTTGCAACAGTAAATCAGGACAAGACATAGATTTGCTAATGTGCATGTAATCACCAAAGATGAAGATGCCTGGGCTTTTATTCTGTAATGTTTCTAAGACTATGTCCATTAGATGCAAACAAAAAAAGGAAGAGTCTTGTCCAGGCTATCAAGCTGTAAACATGAGCCCTGGGTGCGCACAGGACTGCCAGCAACCTGTGAAACACAGTGACCTTCTTTCTGGTTTGTCTTTATTTAAAACTTGGCGTTAGAAACCTATTTTGCCGTCATAATAAATACACCGTGGGACAGCGTTCTTAATCCAAGTGGAATTTAACATTTTAAAGAAATTATGCACATAGGTTACCTGCCAGGGTGATGAAACCCATAAACCAGGTAGTAGGGGCAAATAACTTCACTCTGTTTTAACACTAGGGTTGATTTCATGGGGGGCATTGAGAACTTAGGCAAGGGAGGCAGCTCTGAGGCAATGCAGTGTTTTGATGTTAATTTAGGTGTTTCTTACCATGTTTATGGCTCTCAATTCTTTTTTTTCAAGCATTTAAAGTTGTAATGAGAATTTTGTAAGCATTGTCCTGGAGTTGGGGATGGTAGGTGTACATGGAGAGAATTTGGATCACTACATTCTTAAATTCACTTTGTGGAACTGTTAGGAGACGCTCTAGTCTTTGAACCTATTAGTGTGTTTGTAAGAATGGAAAAACAACCAAATACTCTGAATTGTAGAAGTCTACATTAGCGATCCAGTGTCAAGCTTTGAGAACACAGCACACAGGTAGGACAGAGAATGGTTCATGAAGGTACAGTTGTTTTGTCTGCTTTCAAAGGATTATAGCTCAACCAGGGGGTGAGCGAAGCTGCAGCTAGGTACTGGGAGTAACTGGGAAGGAGCTCCTTACCTTTCACTACCAACCATGCTTGAGTCAAATGCCCACGGGCACTCTGAAGGGCACTTTTGGGGCAAACAGAACTCTTCTAGCCCCAGAAAGGACACAAAAGCTACTGATGGGTGTATAGCAAAGGACCTGCTTCAGCCCGGTAACTAGAAGTAAAGAAATCTTCTGCAGTGGGAATGAGTTTCATGCAGACTTGGTGTACACACGTTAGCAACTCTCTTCCCTTGAAAGAGGCAGTGATGCGGACTTGTGCTCCAATATAAGCTGCTAATAGTAACTTTCTTGTCTCTGAAATCCGTGTCAGATGCCAGTATAGATAGTTTTTCACACCCTTGGCTTCTCTGTGGCTTCTAGCACTGAATGAAATGGTGGTCTTATAGTGATTGTCTCATAAGGAGGGCTTGTTTTATTTTCTACTGTTTTTCTTTAATTTTCCTACTTTTTTTTAAAAGATGAGGTAGGGCAAAAAAGATAAATTTCCAAAAGCTTTTTCCTCCTCAGTAGAATGGCTGACTCTACCATTGATCTACAAGTAGGGTTTTAATTGCTCACAATGCTTATTCATGGTGTCTTCAATTTTGAAGAACCAACTTATATCCACTGTAGTGGATATGTATTTTCTCAAGTCATAAACTAACTTGCTAGAAATTTGTGTTTTTTAAATGTGGTCCCAGAAAAACAAACAAACAAAAAAGCAAAACCAAAACAACTCAGCTGTATTCACTATGGGATCTTGTCAGATCAAGAAAATCCACTATCGGTTGGGAATATTTTCTTTTTGTTAATGGATCAGCTAACTTAGGCCTCTCTTTTTATGCCCGCCACTCCTTCAGCTTTTCTTTCTGAAGGTCATCTGCAACTAGGAGAGGCATCTTCAGGGCTTGGGAAGCACTGGTCTCCAAGCACTGTCTGTCTCTGGCTTTCACTGGTGTGACATCTGTCAGTTCATGGACACCAATCTATCTCTGCTAGGTACCTGAGATGTTCATTGTTTCAATGGTCACTCAAGGATGCGTGCACTGTATGTCTTTTCATTTAACCTCAATTCATTTAACCTGCTATGATTCTCTAAACATTTCTATTAGTCTTTTGTTTTTCTGAGAAAAGGCATGAGTTTTTTTTAAATGTTGTTTTTTGGTATGAGTTTGAGAAAGAGTTTTTGAAGACCTCCATAGACTTATTACCTACATATTGTTTTCCTGCTATTCTGAGACAGATGGAAGATTTCTCTACAAATCTTACCACTTCCTGGGCTATCCCCAGTGAAATCAGTGAAGGTATTTCTTTTCACTGTTCCCTTAGACCTCTTTTGAGATTTCGATTTTCCTGCCCTGGCCTGAGTTGGGAGTGGACTCTGGAATAGTCTTCAGAAATTCAAGTAGCACCTAAGCATCGGTAGTTTCCCATGAGTGCTCTCCTTTCCCTAGTTGTGAAAATTGTGTAGATGGGAAAATAGAATTGTCTATATTCCTCCAGGCTCTGGGTTTGGGTTCCTGCTACTTACAAACTGTTTGAATTGGAACCATTGATTCACTAAATGAAACCTCCGGGTCCTGCAGTTAAGTCATGTCTTACAAGAGCTCTGTAGTGTCACAAACTTTGAAAAGTCAACTTGGCACTCAAATTCTGAAGGTCTAGCTCCTCTTTAACTTGATAAAGCAAATATAGGAGGGTAAGATAACAAGTGCGTGCTACCCATTTCACTCTTTCCAGCACTCTTGGGTATGTTCTGCTTTTAGACTTGGGCCTTACCATGCGCCCAGGCCCATTTATTTCTCTTTTCCCAAGTTGTGTGCAATCAATTCTATGCTTCCAGGAACTTTCTATGCAGATGACTTCTTGTTGCTGTGTGTGTGTGTGTCTGTGTGTGTGTGTATGTGTGTGTTGATGGAATCGGTAGGTTCATCCAAGTTGAGAATGATCCCACTTTTGCAATAATCATTTGGAACAATTTACATATGATTGACAGTGTGGGCATCCCCTGACCCCTTGATGCTGTGTTCATGGGAGGCCTTTCTTTGAAGTACTAGCAGGGCAATGCAATCCCACTTATCATGTTAAAAATATAATGTATTCAACAGACACAGGCAGCCATTTTAAAACACACACACAAACACACACACACACACACACCCAGTATTTTATTTTCACACCACTTTTGTTATTTTAGTTCCTTTCCACTTTCTAGTATAATTTAAAAACCATTGTGGACATGGTAACCTCAAATTCCATCTTTCTGAAGTTGAGGAAACAGGTGGAGGGAAGCAAATTCACTTGCTCAGAATCACGTGGATGTTTAACAGGAGCATGGAGGACGGAATGATTTTAATTTTCAAGACTCCTGTCTTTTGTGCCACAAAGGACTTTTAGAGTTGGGCTTTTGAGACAGCATTATTTGTACCACAGTGCAGTGCAGGCATTTCTATAAAATGTCTCCTCATTTCTTTGATAACAATGTCTGGGTTTCTAGGCAAAGGCAGTATTCCCACCAATACAAAAATAGCAGGCTTCTGCACCATTTGTTAAATAAATTAATAAGAATGAGGAGAAAAAAATGAATCTGCAGAGACTTCTAAGTGCATGGAAAGGTGCCAACCTTGGTCAAAATCCTTGTATCTTAGTCCCTGTGCTTGTAAAAGACTCATATATCAGATCAGGGAAGACTTCTCTTTAGAAGCTGATTATTTATATATGAATATTTTAAATTTGAAAATGTCGTTCAACTGAAAAAATAGGAAGAAAGACAATTCTGGTTGTCTTAATTGTTGAGGGAATCACAGTAAATTCACCCAATCCCTTAGGTCTTTGTTATTATTTTTACTGCATATACACTGTGAGGACGATGCCCATTATTAGGTAGTTCAGGTCATTAGTTGAATTTGGCTTGACATTAATGAAGTACAAGTTTGGCGAGGTGTTAAACTATGCAGTTGTGCCACTGTGGTATTGACTTGCTCTTCTCAGAATGCTCTAAAAATTGTAAACAGGAACCTTTTGAAGTCTTAAGGAAGACCCTTCCTGTCCATGTTACCAGTTTCTACAGAAGGAATTTTGAAAGCTAAAATGATTTTAATATCTGTGCATCTGGACATAAAATTCCATGGATGTGAGAAGAACTGTGTGATGGTTCCTACATGGGAACTACAATGTTAGCAGCCATCAGAGGCATGGCGCTTCTCTCTCTCTCTCTCTCTCTCTCTCTCTCTCTCTCTCTCTGCAAGTGTTAATTAAAGATGCTATTTGCAACAGCTAGGGGATAGAAAGCAGTACAGAAAGAAGGCACCCTTTCCTTTTGCTTTTACATGTTGTTCAGGCTTTCTAGTAAAGAGGTTTTGTGGGGTAAACACCATGTACTTGGAAATTAATTGGAATTCATTGTGGTATTGCATTATAGCTCGTAAAGCATAAAGAGTATAATATGGTGGTTGTCAAATACAGTGAGGATTTCTGGAAATGATTTTCCTTGGATAAATTTATACTCATAAAAATCCAGTTTATTTTCACATTTCTCATGTAGCTTTGCTGAAAAAATGTTAAAATTAAATTTGTGATTTTAGTCTGTAACAGCATAATACCATAGGAAGCTTTATGTTTTTTCCTCTTTGTATTAGGTGACTGACGGATTTATGAAGAAACAAATTAGCATAATGTTGATATTATTGTTGATGCCTTTGTTCAGTCTTCTAATACCTTTTTACCCGACTTTCAGCAGTATTTTAAAAGTAAAACCCGCAACCTGCTACTGTTTTACAATTCACAACTGTTACTGATTTATAGCAATTCATCTAATTGACAAAACTGTTATGTTCAAGGTAGTTTTTATTAAAAATCTCATCCGTGCTAAGTCCCTTAAAGTGATGCTGCTATACTCAGGATTATTACAAAATAATTCATGTAAGAAAAATTATAAAAAATTCCTAGCATTCAAATTAGTTCAAGACTCATGTGTATGACCTAACGTTGGAGAAAATACATACATCCAAGCTAACTTTAATGGAAACTAATGCATACAACTAATTTTAAATATTCTTTTCCAGGCCTTACCTAGCATGCAGATTCCTGACTGTGTCCACCAAAGTGAACATATGGAGCTTGAGTGTAGAAATTGCAAATCATTCTGCCAGATGATTGTGATTTACACTAAAGTCTCTGACCTAATGATGTAAATACAGTCTGATGGCTTTTGTTCTAAATTTCACTTGAAATGCAATGGACCCTGCAGAGGTCAATATGGCCTTTGCAGTTATTTCCATGGCAACAAGAACTGGATGTCTGAAGGATGGACAAAAGAAGAGAAGAATAGAAAAGCCTTCAAAGGTTCAAAGCAGCAACAAACTTGATAATTTTGAATAGTGATAGCTCTACGTCTTACCAGGAAATGCAGAAATTATCAGCTGAATATCATGAAGTTTCTGTATTAAGATGTGCAGTTTCTTCTCCATATAAAGGCTCCATTGAATATCAGATGCTAAATATATATATATAATCTCTCTCTCTTACAATTGGTAGCTCTATTTTTAGCCCTAGTTATTTTATAAAAAGCAATGATTTATTGGGTCCAATTGCATCTATAAACTAGTGCTTAGATTACTGAATCTTAACTCTTTTTGACTATTATTATCAACAGAACATCTCAAATGATTACAATTCCCTCCCCTAACTTCTAAGAGTAGACTATCTGGAGAGAGGGTTCAGAGTTCCCACCGCATACATCCTCATATCTTACCTACTCGGGCCCTTCTCTAGTATAGTGACTTTGCCATTCATTTAACATGTGTGCAGGGAAACCTGGATAGAGTTTGCATCTCTACATTCATAATCCTGTTTTCTGAATCTGGGTTTGTTTCGAGGTGCTGAATTATTTTCTTATTGCTCATGTGGCCAGAGAGAGATTTAATTTTTCTTTGGGATGCAATATTTGTTGACTAGTATTTATTATCAAGTCTTTATAAATGGCTTTATTTTCTATGCCATTATATGACTTCATTTAATTCTCATGGAAAATATAGTAGTAACATTAGCTCTATTCTATAAATAAGGATATTGAAGCTTAAACAAGTTGAAACTTGACTCCAAATGATGATTAATTGTTGAATGGTTCATAAACCATACACAGTGCAAAGTGTCTTCCTCATCATCGTAGGCATTGATGTCATTGATATTATCAATCATTGATATCAATCACATGTCATTGATATTACTGTACCCGTGTTCCCTAGAGAGTCGTCTGGTCTTGCCAGGTGCTTTACGGAAAAGACGTTATGACCTAAGAGCTTGAGAGGTACTGAATAGGTTGGAAATTCTCTATCCATGACAACCTATTAAATATATTAAGATACCACCTTGTAGAGTGTGGTTCCCCTGGGTTATTTAATAATGAAAGCTTCATTGAGGAATCACTTTTCAGTAACACCTATTTTGAAAAATACTTCAAAGTAACCTTGTATCCTAGAAATTATTTCCTAGTGGTAGATGTTAGAAAACTGAAGCTAAGAAATAATTAATGAGTGACCTACAGTGATTCCACACATGGCTGTGCTTGAACCTGAGTTTGGCTAATTTATAGATTTATTAACTTTATAAATGAATTTTAATATCGTAACTCAAGGTTCAGAACTCTAATATCTGTTATTTCTGATAGTAAAGCTGAATTAAAATCACCAAAAGTGTCAAACCTAACATTGTATGGGCAAACATTTTGAAATAAAATAATGTGTAAATAGCAGAATTAGACATCATACAGTTTAATACAACATCTAAATACCATTTATTTATTTATTATGATGTTTTGAGATGGGGTCTCATGTAGTCTAGGCATCCCTGAAACTCTGTATGTAGTAAAGACTGTTCTTGAATTTGTAATCCTAATCATAGTTTTATGCTTGATTGGGACTGGGATGTACCCCACAGGGCTTCATGCATTTTAGGCAAGCATGATGTCAGCCAAGCTGTATTCCAAGCCTCTTAATGTTAACTCTTGCAGGAAATTACTTCTTTATTCACCTCTGAATCAGACTTTTAAAGGATGGTCTTTTTGGAAAGGTGAGTTTTGCTAATTATTGCCAGTCTAGTTTTCTTTATCATCAACCACTCAGAAACTTTTGTAGCCACTTTGTTATATTAAATAGTCTTCATAGATTCTGAATCAATTACTCATGAAACTAAGAGACACAGAGTCTGTATCTTGCCTGGTATCAGATTCTATTGCATCTGAAAATATGCATTCTGATCATTGACACACAGTAGACTTGTTCTACTTTGATAACAGTAAATAAATAATGATATAATTTTTTATGTATTTTCATAAGAGCTCATTTATTTAAAGAATGAAGCTGAGAAACAGTCAGTGCAGGAGTCAAATTTTCTGACCATGCTTTACTGAGAAAATATAAAGTTGGTTAGGAAGAGTTGTGACTAAAATCCTGGAACCCATTTAAAGCTAAGCCAAAAGGTCATGCAACATGACTATCCAGATGGTGAACAACTCCTTCTCTGCAGCATATTCCGCAGCATATTCCCGGGGGTCACCTGATATGATAAGAGGTAATCTCCTGGTGGAGACCAAAGCCCAACTGACCCCATATTGACAGGAGATGAAAGACAGTTCTATCCCTGACTCTTCAGCAAAGGGGAAATGAACCCAGAGAAAACAGCAGACGTTCCCTGTCACACCAAATTAAGCATGCCATTGGCTTCTATGTCACCAAGCCGAGTTAGTGTTGGGCTTATTCACAGTGCTTTGAATGCGGGTAGAAAATAAATCTTCAGAGATTAGTAAACCAATGCATATGGACATTCTCTCTGGTGTTTATTTTCTCCATCTTGCCCTTCCCCACTGCACCCTTGGAATGAATTAATAATGGTGGTGAGTCCACGGAAATGAGCACATTTGGCAAGGTCCAGAAAAGATGGCCCCCAGAAGAACTACTCTATCTTAGGTGAGTGGGAAGGGGGTGCAATGGCGTTGTGTGACAAGATGTTCATTGTTGCAGAGCGAGTGTGGGTGAGTATCAAACAGAAGACTCTGTGAAGTAGTTCATAGTTTCGGACTCTGCTTGGCTGTTCAAAGAAATGGTACAGCTTGAAAGCGAATATGGTCCTTAGTGGCTCTACACCTACAGGCAACTGCTAACTGCTGTTTGAGAGCCCGATGTAGTTGAGTTTCTGTCCAAATATCACTTTTGACTGGCCTCATCTCCCCGAGTGAGGCTAAAATTAGGCAATCCTGCTTTGCATTCAAGTTCAACCACTGTTTCAGAGATGTTTCCTGAATTTTTAAGACATGACATGAGGTTTGGGGCAAATTTCAAGGGTAAATTTCAAATCTTGTGACTAATTTAATTAAAAAGTAACAGCGTTATAGAGTTACTTGAATACTTATTGAGAAGGCAATAAGGGAGTTTGAAATATATAGGTCTAGAGAATGCAGGAGACAGGGAGAAGGGAGAAGGCAGGGCAAAGTCCACAAAGGTTAAAAAAAGGAGTTCACAAAATTAGCATTTCCCAAAGATGATGATTTTGGACAGAATAGTTTCCTGTATACACATGCATCCAGGACTCTACATTCCCCTAAAACCTGAAACAGGATATAGCACACATGTCTTCCAGAGGCCTGAGTGGGGGCCTGGAGTAGTGGATATACATTTGGCTAGTATCAAGAGAAAGGGCATGATGGCTACTTCTGCCTAGCAGATGCAGGCACAAACAACACTCGTTACAAACGGTTCTACTGGGAACGCCTTTGGAAAAGCTCAGTTACACAGTGTGGACTGAGGACTGTGTCCGAATCCCTTTTTCCTCTCGTAATAATTTGCCACATTCTACGTCTGTAGATAAAGTAGTCCCGGAAGTGGAGTTGGTCGGATGGGTTTGTTTACTCTGAAGTCCATAAAAGAAACAAAAAGCCTTGCATGCAAAAGAAATGGAAAAAACAAAGAGAGTGAATAAATAAAAAGCAGGAATGAATGTTTAAATGAAATGTTAACTAAAACGAAGCAGCAGTTATGAAGCAGCACATTAATGCATAATATATACAAGTTTTTATTTTCAAATTAGTAGCATAACACAAGACACCTCAAGAGCAAATTGAAAGTTAAAGCAGATCAGTCCATTCTACCTATTAATTCAAGACATTTTTCTAGAATGAGGTCCAAGACAGGGCGCTTGTATTCTCATAATTGCTTTTTGATTCTGGGGAGGGTTTCCATAGTGAAACAAGGTGATACTGACTCATCCCCAGTGTTGGGCACTCAAAATATGGTTTTCACATAAAGAAAGTGGTTCTAGTGTTTTGTTGTTAATCAAAACCGTCCATAAAATCTTCAGGACTCTGTGCAAAATGAACACATGAAGCCTTATCTTGAAAACGATTAAGACTTTCATAATGATGGTAGTAGAGCTCTTAGCTTTGGGATTCTAATGCTATCTTTAAACTAGTGGATTAATATTTTACAATGTCCTAGAGCTCTGTATTTTATTTATTTTAGTGAGAAATTATCTTAAATCACAGTCATTTGTGAGGTTTTCCCCCTCAAAGCATCTAAGTTCCAGGTATGGATGCCTTTAAAAATAAAATAGATAAAAATGGCTTGACTATTGAAATTGCCCATCATCTTATATGCAATTTTGAAAAATAAAGTCTCAAATATATTTTATTGTCACTTTGTGTTGTTTATCATGTTCATAGGAAAATTGTATGAATTATCTTTCCACACATTATATCTTGATGTAAGTAAATGCCCAATTTAAAAACACTGCTTTGTATTTTGATAGAAATTATTTTGCAAAGAATGCATGTGCTCAGATTATACACCGAAGGGCTGGTAACACTTCTCACAAGTGTCTTCTGTAATTTTGGATTTATGCCTCTCTTGCTCTTTCTACACTTTCTATCTTAAGAGCAAATAACTGTTGCAGAAATGAACTGAGCTTTGAATTTCTGCACTGTCATTCCAAACAGTGCTAATTAGATTTAGTGTACAGGACTCTTCCTCCTTCTCATTAATAAATGATAGAGCTGCCGTGCCAGCGGCACCTGGCAGGGATCCAATGCTCTTTGCTCTAACTCAGAAATGGCTCTTCTGGGCATCTAATTCAATAGACCCTGACAAAAAGGGAAAGCATCCTTCAGATTCTCACGTAAAGCAGCATGTTCTAAGTAAAAACTAACCAGTCTTAGAAAGAGAGGACTCACCTGCTCAATGTCATTGTTCTTCCGTGATTTGTAGATAAATTCTCCAATGGCTACAAACACGGAGAGGACTAGTCCCGCAGCCAGAACAATGAAGATGCCCCCAATGTTCTCCACTCCCAGAGCGCTGGCTTCTTTACTGTCTTCTTCAGGACAGCCGTTTCCACGCCACCATTTCTCTTTCATCATGTGCAGCTTCCCTTCTTCTTGCAGCTGAAGAATGGCTATCGTAATTTTATCCCGGTACGGAGAGCCTGAGAGTTGGGGGTGATTTAGATGTTGGTCATCAATGGGATAAGAAGGTATCAAGACATTTCACTATCTTAGTGATAAGTACTCCAGAGTCGTGAAACCCTAAGACACTATTAGCCAATGTTGGGAATTTCCAATCTTATATCTTGAAGACTCTAACTAGTTAGAAGAGGGAGAGGGGTGACATGTTGAGGTTCACTCTGGTTCAGGGTGTTTCTCATTCTAAATAAACATTAAGTAGGAATTCTACCACATTTCTGCTTCTGCTGAGTTCCTCGCCAAATCTTTTCTTACGTCAAGGGATTTGTTGTTTGATTCTACCTTTTCTGGCCTCTTGGTGATCTCTTCCTTCTGTTTCCCATCTTTACTGGAGGTCAGCTATGGCCACATTTCTGGCCAAGCTAACATTTCTAGTGGTGGATGAAATTTCTAGTCTTGTGTCCTTAATCTTCCCAGAATGCTCTCCTTCCCCAGATACACTGCAATAGGGAAACACTTTCAAGTCATCGGTGATGGAGGAGCCACGGAGTAGAAGGAACTTGGGCTCTAGGGTGGCTGCATGAAGCAGGTCCTTTCTCTTAGCCCAGATTGAGCTATGACAATCAAGGAATGTTTACTGTGCAAAACACTGAAACATTTCAGACGCTGTTTACAGCAGTTCACCCACAATGATTCATGTTCCAATTAGCATAAAGTACGTTCCAAATAATTATGAGGTGCTATACTATTCTATGGCAAGAACTTGGTAATATGTATGGTCTGTCTTCATGTAATTACATTGAAATTTTAGTTGTGAAGGGTTGCAAAGTGCGGAAGTGTATACATTAGGACATAGTATCTTAATTATCAATTCCTATGTTAATCAATGCAAAAGAGATAAAACAAGATTCCTTTACTCAATTATTTCCTTGGATGGCAACATTTTTGATAGTATTTCTTTTCTTCAGTAGTAGGAAGCTCCCTTTGCTTAAAAAATTTAAAGCCAATCCTGGTGGAGGCAAATTGAAAAGTCAAGGTTCTTAAAAGACAAGGGGGAAATCTTATGAATAATAAAGTCAAGACTGTTTGTTACATAGGTTTAAAAAAAATTAAAATCTGAGCGTATAATTAAGAACCAAGAATCCAAGTCAGCTCTCCTCATTTCTTTCTTTTTGTGATTCTTTTTTATTTAAATTAGGAACAAGCTTGTTTTACATGTCAATCCCTGTTCCCTCTCCCTCCCCTCCTCCCTCCCCTGGCTCCCACCAACTCCCTATCCCATCCCATCCCATCCTATCACATCCCATTTCAATTCCCCAGGGAGGGTGAGGCCTTCCATGGGGGATCTTCAAAGTCTATCACATCATTTGGAGCAGGGCCTAGGCCCTCCCCATGTGTCTAGGTTGAGAGAGTATCCCTCTATGTGGAGTGGGCTTCCAAAGTTCATTCGTAATCTAGGGATTAAATATTGAAGTTCTCCTAATTTCTTATGTCTCAGTGCTATCTGTGTCCCTCTCCACAGATGACTTATGTGCTATGCCACATCTTAAATTCAATAAGCTCAGAGTCAATATTTTGTCATTTATTTCCTTATAAGACTGAAGAAAATAATTGTCAACACTCAAAATCTACTTTAAGAGAGGAGTGAAATGCTTTAAAGGGAGACTATAGCTTGTGCATTTAGAGTATGGATTTTGGGGTGAGAAAATGGATTTTGAAAACAAAAAAAACCAAATAAGAGATATCAGCTATTTGCTTAAACTTTCTCAGAACAATGTGGTTGAGGCAAAATTAGAAGCATTAATAGCCATAGAGGGCGCAAGCAAATGAGAGAACCTGGAGTACTCTGCTTTAAATTTTAAGGTACATGGAGGAACTTTGATGAACCTGAGAGCAATACACCTGGCCATAGCTGCACAGTAGTCATAGTGATATACGTAGTGGGTATGCAATAAATGCTTACTGCCACTCTCCTCCTGCCTTCAGGCTGCATGAGACCTAACATATTACAGACAGATGGAGATCCAATCTCTGCTTAATGGTAGTCTCTAAGGAGGCAATTTCCAGTCTTCTAGTAAGTAACCTGCTTGAAACTTAACTGCTTTCATTCTCTTGAAGTCTGACTTCAAATCCCTCAGGAAGCCCATTTCTAGAGCCTCTGTCTTTAAGCAGCAGTTTTCAATTTTAGCTTGTGACTGAGCCAGCCTTGCCAATCTTCTCTTATGGGAGAGACCTCAGAGCCTCTGGGGACTGAGGGCAAGACTAGACATGGCAGAGACCTTCTCACATCTGCATATCTTTTAGTGTTGATCTTGGTTAATGTTCAAGTGGTCTGGTTGACATCAGAAATGACTTCTTGCAAATCATTTGAGAAAAATAATAGATGTGTACACGTGGGTCTTCCTGAATAGCAACTGATGTTCCTCAAAGAATAAATCCATCATAAAAGAAACATCGCTCAAATGTTCCTAGCAGCTGTAATCCCCATGGATGAGTTCACTCTGAAGCCCACCATCTGTTCCAATTATTCCCTCATTGTTTTTGCTTTAAAAGCATGACAGGTTTATCACCAGTATGAAAAATTTCCTGGAGTATATTTCTTTTCATCTAGGAAGGGGAGATGGAATCTCTTTTAACATTAGCATGCATTATAGGTAAAGTGGGCAAAAGAGAGAATCTGTTGAGGCCTCTCTGAGTAGTAGATATCATAATCTGTCAATGTAGACAGACCCATCACAGAGTCAGCCATTCACAGGAGGGCAGAAATCAATCTACAAAGTGCTGATTTCCCACAATCCCTGCACCACACCGCTGCCACACCGTCAGAAACTTTTGATTTCAAATATTCCATTCTTTTTTATTGTTTTTTCCGAGTTAAGGATAAAATCCGGGGCCTTGCACTTGCTTGGCAAGCACTCTACTACTGAGCTGAATCTTCAACCTCTAAATATTCTTTAAAAGGGATACAGATTAAAATTCTGTCCATGTACAGCTGTTCTCAGAGTGACACACATTCTTGTTTTCTACCATTTCTACCACACAGAAAATGTGGTGTCAAAGAGAGGTGCTGAAGGGATAGGATAGGGCTGTACACAATTCTTGTACACAAGTCTTGGGGAACTTGTGGAAGAGAGCCAGTGAGACTGTTAGTGCCAGAGGGCCAGAATTTCTGCTCTAAATTTGTACCTAGCTATGATGGGAAAGTTGATCCTCTGAAATCTCAAAATGGCTGCCTAAACAAGACCTGAACAATTCCAACACGTGTGTGACACTCCAATGTACATGAGGGGAATCTCATGGATTTTTATCCTAGATTAAGAGCTAATAGCAACTAATAATTCCCCAGGGAAGAGCTCCCATTTGTAATCCAGTAGTGATCAGTCCTAGAAACATACATGCAGGTAGCCCCGAACGTACTCAACAGGCTATATGTATATGTTTACTCATTTGTATGTCTACTTAACAGCAATGGTTATGGGAGAGGATTGGGAGGAGGCAGACATGGGAGAGGGAGGAAAGGGAGAGTTAAATGATGTAATTTACATTTATATTAAAATTTTTAAAATTAAAAAAAATAGACCAGAAAATGGAGCCTGTCTCCTATTACAGATCTTCACAAGCATGTATCCCAGATTGTTCATGGAATGCTGTAACCTTACTCTCCAGAGCTGGAGTCCTACCCTGTAACCAGGTCCTTTGAGATAGCCCAACTGGAGATTAGATACACTGTGGCTCACACTGACTTCCCAGAATTGTCCATTGGGTAATCTTCCTTTGAATGGATCAAATTGCTTATAGGAAACTGTACACTACAAGCTCAGTCCAACTCCACAAGTGTGTTTCCCAAGTGGAGACCTCCAGCAGCCTGTAGCCCTATGCTTCTATACTAGTTACCACCACACCCGGTGTTCTCTTGAAGTGCACGCAGGTAACCTATTCTCTAGCACACCCAGTAAACTATTGTTATACAAGAGCTAAAAGAAGGCCAAGAAGGTAGTTAGACTCCGTAGTGTAACTGTTCTTCTGAAGATGGAGAAGACAAGAGCAAAAATAAAGTTAGTTTGTTATAGGATATGTTAATATTTCTAACAAGGAAATAGTGGGGGAGCCAAGCTGGTTGTGCATTTGTTGTCAGATTATTAACATCAGGACATTTATTTCACCTGAACTACAACTTCGTTTTTTTGGTTTGGAAAATGAAAAATCTGACCATACTTCTTCTGAAAGTCCTATAGATCTACAGATGACCAATGGGAAAGGCTTCCTTTAGGCAAGTCATAGATGCTCACAGCCCGCTATTGAGAGCATTCCCTAGTCAAGTAAACCTTCTTGACTCATGATCTCTACTTGGCTTCTGTAAACACTGAAGTTTATGATCCCTGCCTGACATTGATGGTCACACTGCATAATTCCTGTCAAACACAGCGACAAGATACAAATGCAGGCAACAAGTCAGGTTTGCCCTTGGCTCTTATTTATCTACACTTTCTACTGGGCTAATGCATGGGTCTGGAAGGCCTGATTTCTCTTCTTTAGATTATCAAAGCTTCGCTTGAGAGGAACAAGAGGAACAGGGTCAGTAATAGTCCCCTGACCATAACACCTTTTCTGTCTATTCCTGCTACTGTCACAGAAGAGGATACCATATGAGTTACGTGGTCTTTCTAGGCAACAGAGTCCTGAGGAAGAACAGTGTTATTGAACTGAACAAATAGAAATATCTGCGGGCCAGGGTTAGGTAGTTATTTTTTGACTCTAGTTTATTGTCTGAGAAAAGTTTAAAATTTATTCTCTTTCCTTTTCTTTTGACAGGTATGGCATTGTTTTCTCATTTATTGAGATGGAAAAATAGCCTTCCACAGTTAATTTTCATCTATGTAGAATTAATTTCCTTATATTCTAACATAACTTAAGTCATCAAAGTAGGTATATGTAGATATTATAGGAAATTATTTATGAAGAATAATTAGGAAAATATGTTCTTTACAATGCTGATGGTAAAAATAAAAATCATGCAAGTCTTAAACAGTTATATTGTGGTAAGATCTAAAAAATAGTAGTTGAAAATTTATTTATTTATTTGTTAATTTATTTTTGGTTTTTTGAGATAGGGTTTCTCTGTATTTATTAGATTAAGTATCTGAGATTGCTCAATTTGAATCATGCCTTATTTTCTATGGACATTTCTCTTCCTTGTTAGTCTCCTAAAGACATTGCACACTTCTCAATATGTTGAATACAATCAACATTGCCCAACTAAGCTTTGGCTAATGCCTTGCTCCTCTTACCTATAGGGGTCCCCACTCCATAACCTTTGGAGTCTATGAGGCCCCCAATCTGAGTGAGGTTGCAGTTCCTCTGAGTCACATACTCAATGCTGGTGGACTCCATCAGCAGGGCGTAGTCGGTGGTGAGCACTCTTTGGATCCCTTCATCACTGTTTTTAACCAGTGCACTCTGTTCTCGACTGCTCATAAAAGCCCACATTTTCTCATAGGTGGATATCTTTGATTTCTGTAGAGAGAAAAAAGCACACCCACCAGCAGAATAGTGCTAAGAAAAAAAAATATGGCCTAAAGCCATTCACCCTCCTCATGGGTCAAATGATAAAGGGGAAACATTTTCTGTAGGTGAGGAACTGGACTAATGACAATAGGACTTCCACTTAACAGGTAACTGAGAAGAGCAAATTTTACTACAGATGAGTGTTGGCAGAGTTTTCTTGTCCCATCAAGACCCTCTGCCCTTCTCAGCCCCAAATAAGCACACAGAGACATATATTAACTTATAAACGGTTGACTAATGGCTTGGGCTTGCTATTGCCTAGCTCTGTCTTAAATGTTAAGCCATGTCTTAAATATTAACCCATTTTTATTAATCTAAATATTTCCACGTGGTCTTATCTTAGTGGAAAAGGGTCTGGACCTGTTACTCCTTTGGCAGCCTACATAGCATCTGTTTCTGGACCTTATCTGCCTACCTTTCCCAGAATTATCCTCATGCCCTAGTCCTGCCTATCTCCCTGCCTCTATTGGCCACAATGTTTTATTCATCAACCAATAAGAGAAACATATTTACAGAAGGACATCCCTGTCAGGAGAGAACATGAAGACACTTAGATCACCATGGAAGAAAAGGAGACCTTGTCAGATGGAGGTCATGTCTTAAGACCCTCTTCTTGACTTTGGTTAGGGAAGAAGGATCATGAATATCAACGACAGTGCTTGCTAATGAGCTGTTGACATTTGAGATCAGTACTTCACAGTCCACTAGGACAAAGCTGAGGCTCTCTCCTTCCAGGTCTCTGCTCACTTATTCTACTTCCCTTGCATCACTGGACTTCAGTGGTTGCTTTGTTGTTCCCAGGTATGGAAGCTCCAGAGCCTGGACATCACTAATTTGCTAGAGATAGCCTGGGATATGTCACTAGCATTCTCTCCTTTGTTTGTGGAAGAGGTACATCTGCGGCTAATTTTTCTGCAAACTAAGGAATGGAAATGCTCTTTTCTAGTTAATATTCAAATCAGAAGGATCTCCTTACTTTTTATGTATATGATTTCTCATTGCCAACATATTTTAGCTAGCAAGGTCTGCATATTTCTTTTTAAAGTGTTCTATGATTTTCATGTCTTTTATTCAGCTGTTTTGGTAGAATCAATAATAGACTATGTATATGGTATATTATATTTGCATCTATATATAGACACCATTGCCTCATTATCTTCTTTTCTTTGTTAAAATATACTGCATGCATTTCCATATTGCTTAGATATGAATTTCCATTCTTTTGAATAGTGATCTATGATTAGGCATTTTACATTTCTACTCTGTAATTTCCATAATGTTTCAAGTTTTTCCCCTGAAATTGTCTTCATTTGCATCAGTACACCCTTCCATTTATTTCAAAGATCAATGTCATCATGGGGATTACTGAAATTTTCAGGCTAAAGCTGGTTCTGACACATGTAGACTCCTTGGCAAGGGAGGGGCATATCATCCTATGTATGCAGAGAAGCTTACGACAGGACTCGGGGCTGGAGATGCAGAATGAAGTAGATCTGGAATCAGAGCTCTTGTAGCTTGTTTGTGCCCAAATGTTCTGGGAATTTTCTTGGCTCCTAAATCTATTTAAGACTGGGGTTCATAGAACAGGCCCCATGAATTGGGAGTGTGGAGACAGTTGGCTTTGGTTTTGATTGTTAGGCAATTGAAGAGCCCCATGAGAAAGATCTTATGAGACAGATAACAATTCCATGCACATACCTTGTACATGTGATGTTTTATGGGACTCATTTTGTCATAATGAAGCCCCCAGGACTTACTCTACAGGCCCAGGAGATCTGAAAATTGGAGCTCATGTCTCCACAACAAAGGTGTGTGCCGGGTGCCGGGCTGATACTTCATGTGTTGTGTGGTTTCAGTCTTAAAGAGTCTGATAGGTCTAAATTTTTAGTGAGGAGAAGAGCTATTTATGCAAAAGCAGGGAGGACACTCTGTCTTTTTTTTCTGCAGTGAATATACTATGTCTGGGAAAATTATTCCTTCATCAGAAAACTGTCTTAAACGGAAATCATTTTCTTTGAAGTATGCAAGTTTAAAGTTATCTGAGACTTCAGATATAGATTCATTTAAACTATCACTTTTACAGATGAGGAACTTGAAGTAAGATTGTCTGGAGACTTCAGAAAGAGACAGTGAAAGTTAGCATCAGACCTAATCCTAGTCTCGAGCCGTGTTCCTTCCCCTGCTCCATGTTGACTTGGGTAGGGTACATGTCAACATTGCCAAAGTTGTTTTGACTATGACTTTCATGTTATTTGATCTACAGGCAAAAACATAGCATTTATTAAAGGACTGGCATCCTCTGTACACCTTTTGGCTAGTTAGTCTTATGTTCTTGTTATAGCACAGACATCAGCTTCCATGTAGACATTTCACAGAACATTTATTTCTTCATTATTTTAAATTTTATTAAACTGACCCGTCTTAGTTAGAAAATCAGAAAATTTTCTCTGTAGAGGTAGGGAACAAAAAATAAATTGCCATGAGGAGGCCCTTAAGTCACAGAGTCATTTGGAGATAGTGGATTTTCCATTATTATATGTTTACCAAGAGAAATTTGCTGAGAAGTTTCTCTTACATATTCTCCATGCTCATGGCTCCGTCCCCCAGACCAGGTCCTTTGTATTACAGGTCCTGGGAGAAGTGCCACCAGAGGTCACAGTTGGTAGGCAGATGAGCCACTTCTAAAACTGAGGGTTCCTGCTGAGCCCCTGAGTTCTATCCACCATAATGCTATACTTGGGAAGGTTTATTTTTTCATTTGTCAGGCCCTGAATTAGCATTTTCAGAGTAAATTTGGTGAATGCTTTTTAACAATTTTCAAAATGAAAAAAATCTTAATACTTCTTAAAACTATGAGTATGCTTTACCAAAACTTATTGTAAATGTTAAAAGGCCAAATGAGGTGTTTGAATGAGAAGCCTGGGTGTTCTTCCTCTTCCCAGTCTGTCCCAATCCTAGTCAGCCTTCTAAATCACTCGGTAATACACAGAATATTACAGCATGGGGACAGTGATTGCCTCTCATTTCACTGAATATGTCAAAAGCCAATTAGAACTCCCATATCCTTAGAGGACACAGGCTTAGGTAAACTCCTTGGGACAGTTTAGCCTGATTACACATCTGTCTTTGTGCTGATAAACACGGGTGACAGATAATAAGCAGTTCTGGTCAGGTATCTGTTAGAAGGCAGAGTCAACATAACAATGTTCATGGTTGCTTATGTCTGACTCTGTACCTTACAGTGCATGCTGGCTGCGTGCTCACTCGGTGGTGACTTACGACGTGTGCATGGACAGTTAAAAGTTGTGGAGAACAGTGACAACGATGAGCACTAACAATGTTTACTGTGCAATATGCTCTGTTCTGAGCATGTTGCATGCACTCATTCATTTAATGAGAGAGGTGCCGCTGGGATTTCTGCTCTACAGATGTAGAAAAAGAGTATCACACTGAGAAATTACAAAGCTAGGGTTTCATTCCAGGATTCCTGTTCCAGAGTCTAGGTTCTTAATCAGAAGGAATTAATTATTCGTTTGAATACAAGATCCATTAAACTCATAGTCAGGTGAGTATTTCATCAGACCTAACTCATGTTCTAAAGAAACCACGTAAGTGTTTGTAAGCAGCATTCTGCTGTAGGAGGGATGTTGAAAAATCTTGCAGTTAGTATATGACATATGGAGAGGATTTACTGACTTTCAGCAGATCCTATTCATTTAGACAAAAATTCAGAGTCTCGAGATGTGCATCAGTTGGAATCTGGAAGGCAATGTTCATATTGTTTGTACTTTTCCTTGCCTTTTGTATCATTTTGCTTTCTCTATAGCTCTGTTTTCAGTTGCTGGGTTTTCATGGCAGGAAGTGAGATGGTGAGAGCTTGGCTGTGTAGATGCTTTTAAGATTGATAGGACCTCCATTTTATAGAAATAGCTTTCTGATGTTTCATTTCTATTGAGATAAGCATTGCTTACCACAGTATTTCTCCAACCAAGTTATAGGGCACCCACAGGGAAAATACCTGATCCCATTGTTTAGTAGAATCGATATCTGTGAAATACTGCTTTGGACCACAGTATTTGAAGGCCTTATGTTCACACATGACATGTTTGCACATGTTTCCTTTTAGTTGTTTCATAATCCTACACATGTACACACATTGTCGAGATTTTTCTCTTTGGCAAAATAATTCTGTATTAAGTCTTTGCAGTAGACTATTGAGAAATACTAATCTTAAAAAAGTACTCCTGAATATCAACAAAAGATATTGACAGCTTAGAGTCCAGTTTTATGAAGCCGACATACAGAGGAGAATACTTGCCTGAAAGACAATTGTTTCACTCAATATAATGAAATTTCATTAAATGATAATGTCTCATGTCATGTTGAAACGTGATTTAATTTAACGATAACCATCTGAAGGAAGACGATTAGAAGACATTGTCTGCCATGTAGTGGGGGCCCTGCCTTTCCAGGTATGATCATATTATGGGATTGTACCCTTACCTTTTATCAGTAGAAATTTGTGGCATTTGAAGACTCTCTGAAGTTTTATAATTTCATTGATTCCCTTCAGGGAATTCTCCTGGGAAGACTTAAACGTCTTTACTCAAACACTTCTCATATTTCCCCCCATCTACAGCTAAAGATTGGTGTATTATGAGCAATATGCCAGACTTCTTAAAAGGTTAGCTTAAATTGAACTTACAGACATTTCTTTCCAAGTGAATACATTTTTATCTTTTGACACCTATAGTAAAGGAACTTGCGTTTTCAAATAAGAAGATCTTATAGGAATAGTGTCTTTCTGTGTGGAAAAGGTTGAGGGATTTCTCTCATTTTCTGTTTCCCGGTGGTTTTGTCTGAACTCTGTCTCCCTGCTGTAGCATCAGTTCCATAGGTTCTGGGCTCAGTGACTTCCTTGAAACAGTCTTTGCTTTGCTGATGGCACT